AGAGGAGCTTTAAAAACAAACTATGCCTTGTCCAACTAATCAGAATTTCTGGAGTCTGGGGCCTGGGCTTTGGTATTGAATGTTCCCTGGGGAGTTCTAGTATCCAGCAGTGGACTTGGAGGGAACTTAGATGCATCCTGCCGTTGTTCCATAAGCGCAGGAGAGCTCTAACAAACATGATAAGCTTTGAGGAACAGTTTCCTCAAAAAATAATTGACCATTTCAGGGGTTGAAGTGTATCTTCAAGAGGGTGTCTACCCATTAGACTAATACCTTGACTTTGCAAGAGGAGGTTGGTCACATAAAAACCATGGATGTTCTGAGCCCTTAGGTCATCCAGGCTACTCTGACTAAAATATAGAGTCTGTATTAGTTTGCTAGGGCTGCTGTAACAAAGCACTGCAGACTGGGTGGCTTAAGCAACGGAAACATTTCCTCATAGTTCTGGAGGCTAGAAGTGCAAGATCAAGGTGTCATCGGGTTTGTTTCTTCTGAGGTCACTCTCCTTGGCTTGTAGATGCCCATGTTCTCCACATGTCTTCACATGCTCTTCCCTCTGTATGTGTCTCAGTGTCTTACAAGGACAAGAGTTTTTTAGTTTGTTTTCTATTGCTATAACAGAATCCCTGAGACTGGGTAATTTATAAGGAAAAGAGGTTTATTTTTAGCTCATGGTTCTGCAGGCGGGGAAGTTCAAGATTGGACAGCTGCACCTGGTGGCTTCTGGTGAGGCTCTCATGCTGTGTCAAAGCATAGTGGAGAAACAGAATGGGGGCCAGGAGCCAGCAAAAAGGGAAAAACAAAAGAGAGGCAACCTTGTGGGCACGAATCAGCCCAACAAGAGCAAGAACCCACTCTCATAGGACTGCATTAATCCCTTCGTGTAGGTGGATCCCTCATGACCCAGATGCCTGGTAAAAGTACCATCTCCCGGTGCTGCCTCATTTGGGGACCAAGCCTCAACATGAGTTTTGGTGGGGCCAAACTGTAGTCAAACCACAGAACCAGCTATATGGCAGTAGGGACAATCCCAATGACCTCATTTAACCTTAATTACCTCTTTAAAAACACCCATCTGCAAACACAGTCACATTCTGAGGTACTGGGAGTTGGAACTTCAACATGTGCATTTAGAGGGGACACAATTCATCCCATAACCGTTACCTACAGTGGTGTCTTACAGTGGGGGGTGTCTTGTGAGAGATGGAGCCCCAGCTGTTCCTGTGGACCACATTGCAGGTTTTTAATAGTCCTCCCAGGCTGAGACGCTGGCTACTCCCTCCCCATACGGCTGGGCTTCTGGGATTTTGCAACCCCTTCCCCCAAGCCTCGAAGCCAGGCCAGCGCAATAATGAACTAGTCTCAGCTGTTTGGGGTTATGGTGTTTCGAGAACGCCATCAGAGTGCCGGGTTCCTTGAGGCAGTGTGTCCAGGTCTCGACATGATGGTGAGTGGTTTCTGAGTCTAAGTAGGGCTGGTGAAGTCACTTGCAGCCAGGTACCAGGGGAAATAGACACAGGGTATGCACCCTGTCCGCCTTGCTGGAAATAACCATTCTGGCAGGTGAGCTAGCATTTGGGTAAAATGCTTTCATAGTGTTTTTGAGATTTGTTTGGTTGTCCATCTGTGGAAAAGTGTGGGTGGAACTCCTAGCCATTAAAATCTGGCAATACCTTAATTGACCAGGGTGGGGGCCTATTTTAGAACTTGTGTATTGAAGAAGTCCTGGCTGGGCAAAATTCCATTTCAGGTATTGAACACATTTCCTGGGCAGTCTAGAATTGCCTGTACTGAGGACTGATGTTTCTGGGCCAGGAGGCCTGGCACAAGGCCTCGTCATTGTTTCTTGAGTATGGATGAGGTCATCGAGGAAGAGTCCTTCTCCCCTCGGAGCTGATTCACTCAGATACCCAGTCACTGTTTCTGTGCTTGCTCTGTGACCTTGGTCAAGAACTTGACCTCTGTGAGCATGTTACCAGGAAACATGGAGACAATAAAACTTTTCTAATAGGGTAGCATTATGAAGGAATCCAGGGGATATTGGGAGGTAGTACATCATGGTGGTTAAGCACAAAAGACCTGGATCCTATCCTAGTTTTGCTCTTTATGATTTGTATAGATACTTTTTGTTTGTTTGTTTTAACTTTTGTGCTCATTTGTAAAATGGGTACAGTTCTCTAGGTCCTACTTAATAGGGTGGTTGTGATCAAATGAGATAAGGCCACCGAAGCACTTAGCACAGTGCCTGTGACATACAGATACTCAGTTAGTTACTTCATTACCAAGGCAGGTACTGAGTTGACTATTGAACTTAGAGGCGTAACGGGGTGTGAACAGAGTTGGGTCCTCAGACCTTGGGTACTTCATCCCGGTTGTACTTTGCTGTGTAGCCAGCAGGTGGCGACATTGGCCACATCTTGGCACTGCTAGCCTCCATCTTAGCGGTCTAGCTCCCTGGGCTGGCAGTGCTGTTGCTACACTTGTGTTGTCCCTTGCAAGAGATGGGTTTCCATAAACAACCAGAGCCAGGTGAGTGACTGGATGGGCTTGCCTGCAGATTATTCCAATGCCAGAAATCCCCTCCGGGTCTTTCTGGAGAGCAGTAGCCACTCTTGCTTTCATGTCCAGTGCTGCACATTCCTTGCTGAGGGCTTAGTGGCCACCTGCCTAATGTAGGGTCGCCATGCAGCTAGAGTGGTGTGGACTGAAGCTTGGGGCTGCTGAGGGTGAGCTCAAGGACTCTGGTTAGCATTTCTTAACTACTCCTGCATTGCTGGGCCAGCTCACCTAAACTGAGAGGGTGGCTCCAAACAAAGTCATGTTTGGTTTTTGGATAAGAACCTACAGGTCCATTGTTGAATCCAGAATCTGAGATGCCGTGGCCCAGGGAACATCTACACACAGCCAAGCCAAAGTGGTAATAGCATAAAGCGAAAGTGTTGAGGAATAGCTGAATCCCTGAAGAGTGGGCTGAGAGTAATTTCAGAGTCAGCAATTCAGGTCTGTGGCCCAGGGTGAGGACGGGGGCTGGGGCGTTTATTAGGCTCCCCTGACCTGCAGTGCTTCAGAGGTACACGAAATGAAGGATAAAATGGAGAAGCCAGGCTAGAGGAAGGGTTAGGATTGCATAAAAGTGTGAATGAAAAATAAATTCTATTGAACTGGCATGATTTAAATGTATTGACTTAAGTGAATACTTCTGTTGGTTTGAAAAATGCGGGTTAGTCTTTTGCCTGTAATGTTGTTACTTGACATGAAATACATAACCTACTGTGGTTCCAATAATGTACCACAAGGTGGCGCCAGTGTCAAAAGCTGGCTTATCCTCTTAAGCAAATTGTGGGGACACTTTTAAAGTCCCAAATTATATAACCATGTCATGGGAAACTGGGAGAGTTTGTCAGTAAAATCTCACTAAATTGCCTTTATTTTCTTGTTTGGCTGATTTTTCAGGAAACTGAGGGCCAGAAAGGTGACCATTTCTCAACACGTTGATAGAAGTCAACTGTGTAACTGACCTGGAAATTATTTAATTTGTATGTTCAATTAATTCTTAACTCTGGAATTTTTTTCTCAAGAAGCTACTTTCTTTTATTTAGTAGAAATTTTACTCAAGTGACAGGAGATTTAAAGTTTTTCATTGAGAGTTTTTTTTGAATCAGAGTCACACTCTGTTGCCTCAGATAGAGTGCAGTGGCATCAGTCAGGCTAGCACACAGCTACCTCAAACTCCTGGGCTCAAGCGATCCTCCTGCCTCAGCTTCCCCGGTAGCTGGTACTACAGGCACACATCACAATGCCTGGCTAATTTTTCTATTTTTAGTAGAGACAGGGTCTCGCTCTTGCTCAGGCTGGTCTCGAACTGCCGAACTCAAGCCATCTCCCCACCTTGGCCTCCCACAGTGCTAAGATTACAGGTGTGAGCCACTGTGCCTGGCCTTCATTGAGAATTTAAGAAAAAAAAAAAAAGATCACTGTCCATTAAGTTTCTGGTAAAGTGTCATGTCTTTAGCCTGTGGCTGATGAAATACTTTCTCCTTTAGGAAGTATCAGGCCAGAGAAAGTTTCCCAATGATTTCAGTGATTCAATTTTTAGTGTTAACAGTTTAGTTAATATTTATGTATCTTTGTGATTGTTCTTGTTTGTGTTTCTTCATCATTAGTTTAGATTAACTCTTAGAGGGTAGTGCTGGGTTTCTTTAACACAGATTAGTACCTGAGGACAAAGACTTTCAAGATCAACTATGAAAAATGCAACACAACGCTTGAACTTAAAAAATTATGACTACCTTTGAATTATTTATACTTATGTAGATCTATGAATTACTGTATATGCAGTGTATGTGAATATACTGTATATGTTTATGTAAACATGAATTTGCATACGTATCTGAATCATGGTTTGATTTCATAAATATGTGTGAGAGTAACTTCTCATGCTGTTCCAGTGTCCTCCATCTGCATTCCCTTCCAGGTCTATGATTCTAGTGGCATAGGAAAGAGGATCTCTCATTTCTTTATCAAAAGGGGTAGTGAGGAAAAGTCATTACCAAATGGATATACCTAATATTTTATATCCCAGTATTTTTGAACATTCTTTATTTCATAGTCCCATTTGGTGGAGAAAATAAAATTGATTATAAAGTACTTTCCACAACCACGTTTGCCTACTTTTAGATTTGATTTTCTAACTTAAGCTAGTTAAAGTACTCTTCTGTGCTTATTTGTAATTTGAACAGTCAGAAATAAATGTGGTATAGTCCAAAAAGGTGACCTGGTTTGGTTTTGGTTTTGGTTTTTTCTGGAATATAGGTGGGCTTCAAATGTTTTCTGATTGTTGTTTAGTAATTTTCAGATTTTTTAAAAAATAACTAGGGCTTAGCAGGAATACAGAGGAGCATATGAGTATGAATAAATGAATTTGCTTAAAATAATTTTGTTCCTAATAAAAAATGATCAAAAATGATAAATCTTTTTTTCTCCATCTTTTTCTCCTGTAGATTGGAATAATAGGTGGAACAGGCCTGGATGATCCAGAAATTCTAGAAGGAAGAACTGAAAAATATGTGGATACTCCATTTGGCAAGGTTAATAACCAATTAATGGAGACATGTTTGCTTTTCTGTTTCTCCTTGCTGGCTTGATTTTTAAGTCAAAAAACAAATTGCTTGTTTGTTTATTTCTTTTCGCCCAGGGCTATCTGTTGCAGACGTAGAGAGCCAGGAGTCCTGCCTTTGGGCTCCATCAGCTGGGAAGGTGTCCTTAGGATGCCTTGGACTTCGCGGTTCTGAGAACATGGCCTGAAAAATCAACCTCAAATTCTGTTGCTAGAAGCCAGACACTCATTTCAGCCATAGCAACTTCTCTGTTCAAATCAGCCTCTAATTTGGGGCCATTAGGTCACGCCACACAACTGCAGTGGTCCCCAACCTTTTTGGCACCAGGGACCAGTTTCACAGAACACGATTTTTCCACAGACCCGGGGGTGTGGGGGCGGGGTGCAGAGCTCAGGGGTTGATGCTTGGCCCGTTTCCTAACACACCACGGACTGGTACCGGGCAGCTGCCCGGGGGTTGGGGACCGCAGATTTAGAGGACAGTCTGATGACTAATAAGGTGAAGCATCATTACAAAATGGCATTTTCTGAGTGAGTCCTGGCTCAAAGGAGGATTGGGGAATCCAGAATACAGTTGACATTAGTTGAATGCACAGCTGAACTGGAAGTAAAGCACTCTTCCTTTTCTAGGAGAGGCTGCTGGTTCTCCAAGGCCCTGTGCCACCTAGCCTAGGCCAGGGTGAGGGTGTCTGCCTTCTCCTAATTCCATATTACTACTTCCTGATGCAGCTCTTCTGATCTTCCTGTGAGATCTCTGCATCTGGCCTTTCCAACCTAACCCTCCTTTTCAGCCAAGTTCTTAGGTTGACCTCGTGTCCTCTAAGTCCTGCTATCTTGTCGGCCCACTTTCTTGACCTCCTTGATTCTAAGGGCCTTTTAAGCCTCCGTTACCTCAAGTCATTTCGTGGCCATCTTAGATCTGGTTAATACAAGCAGACAGGTCCAGTGCTGAGTTCTTAAGTGCACGACAGTGGCCTCTTACCCTTTCTGCCTTTCACACTCACACCTGTTCTTGAACCTGCCAAATACCCTCGATACATCTAAATTTGACCAGTCTACCATCAGAGTCCCCTGGGGTACTTGCTACAAACGAATCTTACTGTATGGTACCTACATGGGCACCCAAGGCAAGCTTCAGAGTCCTGTTAATCTCTGTGCCTGTAGGGAGCTCAGTAAATATTGATCAAATGATCATGTTGGTATCAAATATAACCTCTTCTATAAGCTGTATCCATGAACTCTAAGTTTCTAAGAATCCAACTGTAGCTGAACAGTTTTAATTGTTTACATAAGTTTTCAGATCACTGAGTTAAAATATAATCATTTTTCATTGTATGCAGCCATCTGATGCCTTAATTTTGGGGAAGATAAAAAATGTTGATTGCGTCCTCCTTGCAAGGTATGGTGTTTTTTTTTTTTTTTTTTAAGCTTTCTGATTGTTACTACTAGAGGAGCATTTAACTTTAATTTTGGAAAGAGTAGTGATACAGGTATGAGTTTTTAGGTGTTGGTGTAGCTAGAATATCTTAGTCACCTTTATTTACCATGTGTGGTTTTGGGTGAGTTCTATTAGGAGATCAGAGATCTCATGGGCTTCACCTTGGATTGGAAAACTAGATCAGGAATCTAAGGTTGAAGCTCTGGTTTCAGTTCCAACTGCAAGAAGAAATGTTTCCCTTTTTTTCCCTTCTAATTAATCAAGATAAAGAAAAGCAATGCTTCATTCATGACCCCTTGTTAGTAGTAGCTGTATGTTTGTGGGAAGTGGGTTACTTGTACTGTCTACACCGTTGTTTTCTTGACAAGGCTAGTGCTGCTGTATTATAATAGAGGAGGCAAAAGCATTTTTTATCACATAGTTAACAAATTAGTCAAACTATATGTTTAGTTTTCTATTGCTGAGTAACAAATTACTGCAAATTTAGCAGCTTAAAATAGCACACATTATGTCACAGGCCATGGTTGCAGGACTGAGGCCTTCAGCTCTTAGAGGAGCTCCCCATTCTCTGCCATGTGGGCCTCTTCACAGGCAGTTCACACAACAGCAGCTTGCTTCTGCAGGGCTGGTAGGAGACTCTCGAGTGCCTGCTAGCAAGGTAGGGCCTACTCGAGGGAGTGACTTCCAGCGCCTTTGCCGTATTCTAACGGTTAGAAGCAAGCCTTGGGATTGTTCACGCTTTATACAGGGCATAAAAACAGGGACCATTCTAGGGTCTGTCACTCTCCATTTTTAAAATGAAAGTGGCTTCTGAGAATCCAGTAAATCTAAATTTTGTTTTACATGGTCACTGGGGTGGGTTTCAGGAGGCCCCCTTTATTAGTCTGTGATCATTTCTACAGAGTCACCTAATTTTTTCTAGGCTCTAGGAGGAAACGGTGCTGTGGTGCTCACTTGCCTACCATTTCTCCTCTCCTTCTCTTAGGCACGGGAGGCAGCACACCATTGTGCCTTCCAAAATCAACTACCAGGCGAACATCTGGGCTTTGAAGGAAGAGGGTTGTACACATGTCATAGTGACCACAGCATGCGGCTCCCTGAGGGAGGAGATTCAGCCTGGTGATATGATTATTATCGATCAGTTCATCGACAGGTGAGCAGTATCTCAAATGCTTTATAGCCCTCGGAGCTGGTCATTCCCAGCTCAAATAGATGATACACGGGAGCCAGGGGAAGAAGGGGAGGGCAGGGCCACAGGCTTGCTTTAAGCTTTTTATTGTGAAAGTTTTTGTTTTTATTTTTTAATTGACAAATAATAATTGTATATTTTATATGTGTGTACATTGTGTGACTTGTCAAGCTAATTAATATATCATCTCAGATACTTAATCATCTTTGACAGTGAGTACATTTGATTATTACTCTCCTAGCAACTTTGAAATATATAGTACATTGTTATTAAATGCAATCACCACGCTGCACAATAGATCTCAAAAACTTATTCCTCCTAACTGAAATTCTGTGTCCTTTGATCAATATCTCCTCGCCTTCCCCTGGTAGCCACATTCTACTGTCTACTTCTATAAGTTCGACTTCTTCAATTCCACATGTAGGGGAGCTCCTGCAGTATGTGTCTTTCTGTGACTGGCTTGTTTCTCTTAACATACCCTCCAGGCTCGTTCATGTGTCTCGACTGACAGAATTTCCTTTTTTTAAGGCTAAATAGTATTCCATTGTGAAATATACCACATTTCCTTTATCCATTCATCTGTTGATGATCATTTAGGTTGCTTCCACATATTGGCTATTATGAGTAACGCCGCAATCAATGTGGGTATCACTTTGATGCACCGATTTCATCTCCTTCGGATATATATGCAGAAGTCGGATTGCTGACTCGTATAGTGATTCTGTTTTTATTTATTTATTTTTTTTTGAGGAAGCTCCGTACTGTTTTCCAAAGCGGCCGTACTGATTTATATTCCCACCAACAGTGTACAAGTGTTCCCTTTTGTTCACATCTTCACCTACACTTGTTCTCTTTCATCTTTTTTGACAGTAGCCATTCTGTCAGGCATGAGGTGATACCTCATTGTGGCTTTAATTTGTATTTCCCTGATGATTGATGGTGCTGAGCATTCTTCACATAGGTGTTGGCTATTTTTGTGTCTTTTGAGAAATGTCTATTCAAGTCTTCTGCCCCAGGCCCTGGAATCTGCAACATTGTTCTTCACAAACCAAACGTTAAAAATCAGAAAATAGGAATTCATACCAAGGACATATAGGAGGCTCGTCCACAGCAGATTTCTTCAGTGCCTTATGCCTCCTGCTGTATTGAGTCTGATTAATCCATTTCTTTTACCTTGTAGAAGGTCCCCATTGTCACAGCCACAAGTCATTTGGCATTGAGGATAAAACATGGTTAAGACTGGGATTTGTTCACTTCTTCACAGTTATTAAACAGTTCATTCGAACTGGGGAAAGAATTGACATTTTGTCTGTCCTTAAAGTGGTCAGGCTATTTATACTTTAAAAGAATCTTGTGGATATATATTCCAAGATTCATAATTCTCGGGTTTCTCTCCTTTGTATGTGCTGGGGACACCCGGCTCTCACTGTGTCACCTATGGGGAACTGAAGCCAGATGTTCTGTGAGTGGGGGAGAGAAAAAACGACTTCATAAGGGAGTCAAAGTAGTTTTCTGTCCCCGAAATCTGGCTTTGCGATGCGAGAGAGGGTCGGCATTCAGAAACCTCAGCTACTCTGGCAGTTCCCGTTAGGCTTTTTAGATTGTTTCTCCACTGGTCTTTGCATGTTTTTATCCTGGCATCTTCTTGTCTTCCATGTCTATTTGCCACTGTCCAGGGAGCAGTCGGGAGAGATATCTGTCCCCTTACTTACTGATTGGTTCTACGGTTACCGCCTTCCCCAGCGGAAACTTTCCTATTAGGTTAGTGCAAAAGTAATTGCAGTTTTAGCATTGTTGAAATTTGCTGTTCGATGTTGGAATACATTCGTAAGTAAACATGGTTATGTTATACATCACTTTAATGCACATTTCTCGCTTTATTTTTTTTGCTAATGACTTATTACTTGCTGTTTATTTGATATTTTAGACTATGGAAATGATGTTAGACAAAAAGCAAATACTAACGATATTCTTATTTGAGTTCAAAATGGGTCATAACGCAGCGGAGACAACTCACAACGTCAACGATGCATTTGGCCCAGGAACTGCTAACAAATGTGCAGTGTAGTGGTGGTTCAAGAAGTTTTGCAGAGGAGATGAGGGCTTGCAGATGAGGAGCGCAGTGGCCAGCCATCGGAAGTTGACAACAACCAATTGAGAGCAGTCATTAAAGCTGATCCTCGTAGAACTACAAGAGAAGCTGCCGAAGAACTCAACGTCAACCATTCTATGGAGGTTCGGCATTTTAAGCAAATTGGAAGGGTGGAAAAGCTCGATAAGTGGGTGCTTCATGATCTGACCGAAAATCAAAAAAATCGTCATTTTGAAGGGTCGTCTTCTCTTATTGTACACAACAGTGAACCATTTCTTGATCGGACTGTGACGTGTGGTGAAAAGTGGATTGTCTACAACAGCCAGTGACGACCAGCTCAGTGGTTGGACTGAGAAGTTCCAAAGCACTTCCCAAAGCCAAACTTGCATGAAAAATGAGTCCTGATCACTGTTTGGTGGTCTGCTGCCTGTCTGATCCACTACAGCTTTCTGAATCCTGGCAAAACCATTCCATCTAAGAAGTATGCTCAGCAAATCGATGAGATGCACCAAAGACTGCAACACCTGCAGCTGGCATTGGTCAGCAGAAAGGACTTCTCCATGACAACACCCAACTACATGTTGCACAACCAATGCTTCAAAAGTTGAACAAATTGGGCCACAAAGTTTTGCCTCATCCACCATACTCACCTGACCTCTCGACAACGTTTTGCAGGGAAAATGCTTCCACAACTAGCAGGATACAGAAAATGCTTTCTAAGAGTTCATGGAATCCCAAAGCATGGATTTTTACACTACAGGAATAAACAAACTTATTTCTCATTGGCAAAAATGTGTTGATTGTAATGGTTCCTATTTTGATGAATAAAGATGTGTTTGAGCCAGTTGTAATGATTTAAAATTCATGGTCCAAAACCACAATTTCCTTTGCACCAACCTAATACAAAGGGCTTTAAAGGTACAGCTTCCTCTTTTGAGCCCAGCAGGGTCAGTGATGGGTATGCTATTTTATGAAATGTGGTACATGATCATACCTGGTCCCTGTGGGTTGACAAAGGCCTTGTGTCAACCTAACCAAATTCTAAGATGAGCGATTTAGAAGCATGACTATTCATTGCTTGGCCTTTGTGCTGTCTTCAGTTATCAGCCTTGCAACTAAAGAAAGGCATGATTCTCCCGCCTTCCACACCCACGCCACTTTTAAAGCTTGACTTCAATGATACATTATAAAGTGGTGCACAGGAGTGGTTTCTAAAGAGATTTTTGCCATGGGAGCAAAGCAAGACTGTTTCCCCATCGCTGCTTTTTTCAAAGAGGCATTTTGTTGTCTCTTCCTCTTTTCCTTATGTACATGGTCCCTCCATTTTCTAACCCAGTCATTGTTGGATATGTCTATAGATTCATGTCTGTATGGGGGAACTGATGATAGGGCCTTTCTTTCATCCCAAACTGCTAAATTTCCATGCCATGCAAGGTACATGGGACAGAGGATCCCAGCAATTTCTACACTTGACCTTCCTCTTTATTCCTTCAGATTATTATAGGAATTCAATTCACCATATTTATTACGCAAGTATAAAAAGGAACAACTATTAATAGATCTGGAAACTGTTTGGAAGAGTGCCCACATTATATTAGGTTTTGGGGTGTTTGTTTTTATTTTTAAAAAGGATCAGAACAGTAGGACCTGCTAAACTGCATCGATCACTCTCAGAAATATCTCAAGGTGAAACTGTTGGGCCTGAGGCCCGTGGTTAATGGCTTTGCTTCAAGAAAGCAGTGAAACAAGCCTTGGAAGTGAGGACATCTAAAACGTTTCCTGGCTGGGTCCTCAAATTCCTTTGTCACTTAATGTCCTCATCTGCTAAATGAGGGTGTTGGATTGATTCCTAAGAAGGTGTCCTCCTTCAGATTATTTCTTCATCAACGTATTTTCTTGCTAGAAGAACTGGGAGAGGCTCGGGTGAGCTTCTGTGATGTGTTCTTACTCATCAGGAAAGTCCCACTGTAAACACACAGTGCTGATCTGTTGTGTCAGTTTGTTTCCTTCTACCGTAGCGAGGCCCTGCCTCGGGCTTCCCCCATGATGTCACAGTGCACAGCACTGGGCCCTTGGGCTAGGGCCGTGCCCCGAAGTCAAGTATATCGTCAGTATATTTGCACTTCATGTGGACTAAAAATAGTGTTCTATGGTAAAGAACTGCACAGGAAGCCTTTGCTTAGCCCTTTCTCCCATCCCTGTCAGCAGCTGTTTTTAACTCCTTCTGTTCTCACAGCTTCCTGCCAATCTCCCTCTCTCTCAGCTGAGAGTGGCACCCCCACCTTTGTAGAGAAAACAGAAGATACTAGGCATAACTCACCTTCTCCCTTTGCCTTCCCTTTCACCAGTTACTTGCGTCCCCCTTTGCCATCTTCCTGCCTTGAATTGGGGTCAGCCACTCCCCTGTATGAGATGTTCATTCTTCTGTTCCATAACCTAGTTCTGTTCTTCTTACCTCCTCGCCATGTATCCTCTAATTAAAAATGCCAAGCTACCAGTTTTTTTCGTTCCTATTAGGTGCCACAGTCAGTTAATACCATTTATTGCATGCAATAAATCTTTTCCCCAGTTTAGAGTTCAGCAGACAGGTTCTTACTATGTTTCTGACACTGCTAATTATCACAGCTCTGGGAGACATCCGCTATGTACCTTATTATTCCCTTTTACAGGTGAGGAAACTGAGGCCCAAAGAGATTATGGTCACACTTGTGTCCGAGCTAGGACTTTTGTTCTCGTGCTCCTGCTCAGCATGCTGTTTAACAAGACCTCATGAAAAATAATAGAACAGAAGGGAAAATGCGTAACCTGTTTAAGGAGCTGTCTTTCCTCATTGGGATATAAACAGCCATTGGTGTTTCTCCTTCCTGTGGCACCATAAGCAATGAGGGGCACTCATGAGACAGGAGTGGGAAGAGCTTGATGATGCTGGTTCGAATCCATAACTTTGCGGTTCCTTCTGGTTAATAGGACAGACTCACTCCACTTCTTAACCTGTTGCTTGTCGTTTATGTTAAGATTTCCCGTCTCGTCGCTGTCCCTGTACATTAGCGTTGGACTGTTCGAATAGCCTTTTAAGTGACGAGAGTAGAATCACTTCCCTGAAACCACCTTTCTTAAGAGAAGCTGTTCTGGTCTGCCAGTAAATTAATTGACTCACGTCCCCGCATGTTGGGGCTTGTTGTGGACACAGACAGGTGTTTGCTCTCAACTTGTTTGCAACTCTGCATTTCCTCAAAGGAAACACTAACAAATGGCTACCTTCAGGCTGATTTAACATCTTGATTCAAGAAACAACTTATCAGTCAATACTTCTCTGGGTGCTTCTCCCCCTGTGTCTGAAAGTGCCCCCTGTGTTCTCTCCTTGACTGTCTTGAACTCATTTCTCTTGCCAGAACGTAACGTCATTTTGTCTCCCTCACTCTTCCATAGGTGGTTTTTGTTTATTTGTTTGTGCACTGACTTTTCTTAGCACATATCCCTGCTTGACCGTTGTGAGGAATGTGCTGGGTACTACGACATCAAAATGGCATACTTTGAGGTGGGCAGGAGAGACGTACAGAAGCAGATTTTCCATAAACGGTAGTTATTAGTGCCAAGCACTTGCTTCAGCTTGTCTTGTTCAGTCCTCACATGGACCATGCAAGGTAAATGATGTTACGCCCCCTTTAAATCTGAGGACACTGACATCACTGAGGTGCAGAGAGCTGAGAGTGGCTCTGCCAGGGGCGCATGGCTAGTGAATGGTAGAGCCAGATCAGTCCCTGAAGTCTGTGTTTTCCAGTGGGATCTCACGCTAATTAGTCTTGCATAGGTAGAGGGGTTTGCTGGTTGAAGCAAGAGTAGGTGGCAGACCTTCAGCATCAGCACTTTATTACTGTAGAAACCGTATCTGAATTAACCATATCTCAAACCGTACCAGAGTGTGTATTAGCTTCCTATTGCTGCTGTAAGAAATTATCACAAACTTAGTGGCTTAAACAAGACAAACGCATTATCTTTTAGTTCCGTAGGTCAGGAGTCTAACATGGGTCTCACTGTGGGTTTTTTTTTTTTAAAAAAAAGGGTGCCTGCAGGGCCGCATCCCTTCCTGGAGGCCCAGGGGGGGATGCATTTCCTTGCCCTTTGTCACTTGCGTTCTTTGGCTCAGAGCCCTCACCATCTTCAAAGCCAGCGTTGGCAGATGGAGTCCTTCTCACCTCCCATCACTGTGACGTTGACTCCTTCCACGTATGAACCCTTCTGATGACATTGCACCCACCTAGTTAATCCAGAATAAACTTACTTTTTTTTTTTTTAACCTTTCTATTTTAAGGTCACCTTGTTAGCATCCTTAATTCCCCTTTGCCATTTGTGGTGACATATTCACAGGTTCTAGGAGTAGCACGTGTACATCTTTCCAGGGCCGGGTGGGCGTTATTTGGCATATAAAATGGAGATGTTATTGCATTACAGTCTATTGGGATATAGCCACCGGAGGTTTTTGCAGCCTTGTTTTATATTTAAACAAGGGTGTAAGTGGGTGTCTTAGTCTGTTCAGGCTGATTTAACAGAGTACCATAGACTAGGTAGCTTCGAAACAACAGAAATTTATTTGTCAGTTCTGGAGACTGGGAAGTCCGAGAAAAGTTGCCTGCAGATTCCAGTATTTGGTGAGGGCTGGCTTTCTCATAGATGACACCTTCTCGCTGTGCGCTCACGTGCTAGAACGCACGAGCTGGCTTTCTGATGTCTCTTTTATAAGGACATTAATCCCACTCTTGAGGGCTTTGCCTAATCACCTTCAAAAGGTTCTACTTTCAAAATACCATCACCTCTTGGGGGTTAGGATTTCAACATAGGAATTTTAGAGGGACAAGTCTTCAGACCGTAGCAGTGGGGATGTTGCTAATCCCTTGTGAAGAAAGAACTTGTGGAGTAATTTGCCCAAGAGCCCACAAACATTTAGTGATAAGATTCAAATCCAGGGACAAAACTACATTTCCTGTGTTTTCTCCATGTCACTCAGAACACTTAGCATGAGGGTGAACTATGATTCTGAATATAGAAGAGCTGTTTGACCTGGAAATTGGCAGTGAACTGGTGGGCTTAATTGCGTAACAGTCCCTACTCTGTGGTACAGGACTGGCAGGTTTATTCCAGGCTTCTTGCTAAATTGTAAAATCTTGGATTTCTCAGAAGACCCTCAGAACAAGGACAGGTGCTATTAAAATGACACACATCTCATCCTAGAATTTCTTCTGGGTGGTGTCGTCCACTCTGCTCCACTGTGGTTGTAAAACCTCATTGCTCTTGGTCAGCATTAACAATGCCTCTTCATTTGATGCTATGCTGGTAGGTTGCTGTTTATAGAGGTTGAGGTTTAGATCATTAAACGTTTCACTGAACGTGTTGATACCTAAGTTAGTGACGCAGAACAACTCAAATAGGTGTAAAGAGGAGTTTCTCACTTGTACTTTCCCTTCCAGTATTTTGGTAGTATAGCCCCAAAACTATTAGAAACTGGTTTCTAAGCCCTATTTATTCTTTGGGGCCACTTGCCCCTTTCAAGCTCATGTGCCTGAGGCCCCATGTGTTGCTCACTACCAATTCTGTCTCTGGCCTAGCCCACACTTCTGAGCTGCTGTAGGTTATCTGGACATCTTGGTTGACTTAATCCTAACGCCCTTCCGAGTAGGTAGATGAATACTGTGTTTTATGATTAGGAAATGGAGAATCAAAAAGATATGGTAATTTGCTATAAGCCACATAGTTAGTAGCTAGGGAGTTTTGTTGAAAGAAAAATGCAAAACATTCCACCTAAGAGACGGAATTAAGACTGTAGTCAGTAAGTATCACACGTATGTGACGTAGCATAAAGATTGTTTTAGACACATGCTATGTCTTAAGGTTAAAAAGCTCAAAGCAAAGGGCAGAGTGACAAGGCAAAGGGTGGGCACAGACAGGGCAGAGATAGATAAGGGGATGTTTGGTGTGGACGTCTGTTGGGGTCTAGCCAGTGGAGGCTTTTGTGGTCCTGTTTTCATAATCACAGTTGTGAGCGAGGATATTGCTAATGCTTGACTCATCGAAGGCTGAAACCAAGCCAGAGCTGGAATTAAGTACGTGGCATCATTTTATTGGTCAGTCTTTCAGAGAGAAAAGCCTCTATTTATACTGGATGGAACCGTCATTTGGCCTCTTCTTCAACCCCATTTGGAAGTGCTTGGGGTTAACTTAGCATTTCCCTTAAGGCACATGTGACAAAGGGTTGGGAGGAACACGGGGTTTTCATTCCTTCAGAGCCCCGAGGCCTCTTCTCTGAGGGAGTGGCTTCCATGCCAACTAGTGTCACTGTTCAACATGTGATATCGTGAGAGTAACAGGTGAATTTTGGTCAGTGGACCTGCAGCTGTGTAAATGGGACCAGTGAGACTGGTCCTCTGAGCTGTCCCTCACTCTCCCACCCCTGGAAGAGGACGTCACATCATCTTCCTTCCCCTGTTGGCTTCCTTTGCCCATGCCTCCCCTGCTCTGCCTCTGTGGGAGAGATTGAGGACCCTCTTTCCTGTGTTACTCGTGAGTTCAAGTTTAGAACAACTTAATGGGCAGAGAAAGTGGCTTGTTTGGAAAAATTCTGGCAAGAAATTTCTGGGTGACTTGTCACTGGGTTAATTTCAGCGTCTCTTTTGTGGATTCAAAACTGTTTTACCAGTACCTTGAACTAAGAGACTTTAGAACTAATTACGGCCAGGAGAGGAATAAGCTAAATTATGAGGCAGCAAACAGGACGGATTCCTGAATGCGGGGCAGGATGATGGCTGCTTTCTTCAATGGGTCAGCGGCATGAAAAAATACAGTTGGGGCTAAGAGCAGGAACAACTCTTAATTTAAAGACATGACAATTAAATGCAAGGTAAGTACCTTGTTTGTACCTTGGAACAAATTGGTTTTAAACAAAGCAACTGTTTAAAAATAATTTTCTTGGAAGACATCAGGGAAATTTGCATATGGTCTGAGTGAAAGCCTGGAATTTGCAACCATAAAAGAGCTAACAGATGATGCAAGTTTGACAGAGTTTTAGAAATTGTTGAATCTGGGAGATGGGTATATGGGGTTCACTATATAATTTTCTACATCACTGATGATGAAATATTTTCATATTGGCTTCTTAAGTCTTTTACTTGGCCTTCCTGAGCCCACAGTTGACTTGTACCTATAATCCAAGTGGTTACCTTGTCACAGCTGCCAGACCACAACACTTTAACTCCTGTTGAGTAGCATGTTGCCACCAGCCTGGAGCCAGAGAAACACCAGCCTGAAGCTGCTGTTTTAACAATTGCCTTCAGTTTATGCAGAGCTATTGATTCTGGAGTGAGGACCAAGATCTTGCTCTAGATGCATTTGATTTGTCAGTCCTGAGGAGATGGAGAGATGGCTTTTTAAAAAAAAAAAACACATTTTTTTTTTTTCCGCCACTTTATGTTGTAGGACCACCATGAGGCCTCAGACCTTCTATGATGGAAGTCATTCCTGTGCCAGAGGAGTGTGCCATATTCCTGTAGCGGAGCCTTTTTGCCCCAAAACGAGAGAGGTACGTAATCTTTCTGGAAGGCATTTCAGAATAAGTCATAAGAACTTGGGGCAGCATCTAGTGTTAGGTTAATCAGCTGAGCAGGTTGTCCCTCTAACCCCTGTAAGTTTGCTTTTTATGCAAGATTTTATGAAGAATTGTTTCCCTGGGCTAATAATGCCTTCACTAATCTCAGTCATTTGTAAGTTGAACCAAAGTTGCAACCTACCTTTTAGTGAGTTTTGATTTTGCTGTCAGGATATCTTTTAAATAATTTACTATCAGGTGGCATGTTACTCAAAAGTATACAGTCAGGAGCCAGATTACTTAGGATCAAATCTCTGCTCTTCAGGTTAATAGCTGTGGGTTACTGGACAAATTATTTAATGTTTCTGGGCTTTGATTATCTCATTTGTAAAATGAAAATAATGATAGTTTGTACGTCATAGGACTGCAAGGCATGAAACAGTTAATATTTATGACGTGCTTTGAACCATGCCTGTTAGTTATGGAACATCCAATGACTGGTAACTGCCTGTATGAATTAGATTACTATCGTTGAGTATCTGGAAATGGTCAGATTAGCATCTTTTGCCTTTGAGCTGAGCTTGGCCATTACTGCCCGACCTCCTTCAGTATTACAGCAAAATGTCAGAACGTGGGGCAGCCCCTCAAGGGCCAATGGTGGCATAAGGGAGGAGTCACAGCCATAGCTCCCCAGGAACAGAAATGGTGACCACAACTCAAAAGTCCATCATTTGGTCTACATGCGCTACTTTCACAGTCCCAGGTTTGAAAGATTAGAAGTATTGTCAGAGGTGAACTGCCTCATAACATCTACCTTGTGAATTAGCTTAGTGACCATAAATACCTAAACATGTTAGTTATTCAGATAATTGTAACACCTGCATGTAGAGAATAGGTGATTTCTTTTAGCATTTACATTGAGCTCTACGTAATCCTGGAAAACCTATTTCCTGGTAGTTAAGAGCAAGGGCACTTGAACCTCACTCTGGCCTCAAACAAAAAAGATGTACCACTGCACATTGATGCTCTCTGACTTCCATGAAAGTATGTTTGTGGTTTAAAAAAAATGGCAGGTGAAGTTTGTATAAGTCTATATAGTACATGTTTCTGGATAGTTCTTGACAGAATGTATCAGAACGGTACTAGTCTTACCTCTGAAACACAGATCTGCCCACATAATCAAGCTGCTATTGCTATCCAGGGGCAATAAAGTGTGGATAAGATTCTTGTCCATTTCAAAATGAGGGCAGCTTGGGAAAAAATAGGCTAAGAAGAGAATCCGTGTTATTATGAATCTGAGCCTGGTGCCAGGCAGAATACAAAGACTTGGGGAACTAGGGGTGGAGGTGGGTGGGGGAAGCATGAATGAGCTATATAGAGCACATGTAAACGTGGCACTGGGTTGACGGTTTCCAATAGTACAGTTTAGCCTCCCATGAAACCACAGTAATCTAGCTGTAGGGCCCCACATAAAGACTGAGAATGCGGAGGAAGGCAGTTTAAGAAAATGACAGAAATGAGCCTTCAGAATATTGCTTTGTTCTTATATACTTCAAAGAGACTTTTTGAACATCCAAAAATACAGAATGAATGGTGCTGCCACTTAGTCATTAAGCGCTTCACTTTCAGCATCCACGTGATCTTCCATGTACTCCTGTGGAAGGGTTGCTGCCATGATTGTCAAGTGGCAAGCAAGGTGCACGGTGGCTGGCATAGCCTACCATTTATGTTAAAATTGTATGTGTGTGTGTATAAAGAGATAAATGTGTAAATATTTATATGCAAATAGAGTATTTTTGGAAAGTTAACAACAACAAAAAAAAACCCTGGTAACCCAGTGGTTTCCTTTGGGGAGGTGAAATGGGTCCCTAGGACACAGGGTGGGGGAAATACTTCTCCAGAATAATTTCCTTTTGCACTATTTAAGTTTTATACCATGTACAAGTACTACCTATTCCAAAAATGGTGTCACTCCTATTCGGTGTTTCACTTCTGTTTCATCTGAAACTCCTGAAAGTTCTGACACAGTAACCGTGTTTAGCCTGTGATCTAACTTGGCTAGGGGTTTTTTTGGTATAGATTGTGGTTTCAGTAGTTCCATTGTGATTACTCCAGACAAGTGAAATCATCTTAGCCTCAGACCCAGAGGTTGCTTGTAGTTTGTATTTTCTGCTACTTTATGATGGTGTACTCTCTTCTTGTGAGAGTGCAAAGTGCTGGTGCAGGTGGCTGACCCATATCCATAGCCTCTGTTTCCTCCTCACAATCATGGTACCTATCTCCCAGGGTGGTGGTGGTGACTTAGTGTCACAGGCCAGTGGTGCACAGTACTTGTGACCTTCCTTTATTCATCTCTAGAAGCACTCTGAAGTTTAGCCAACACATACAGTTCGGTTATTCAGGATCTCTAAAGACATTTAATGAACCAGCAGGATTGGGCTGGTTATGTCTTAAATTTGGGGAGAAAAGACGGGGGAGGGGAGGGAGAGATTTAGGACCTTGCATTTAAAACCTGTACTTTTTAGGGAAAAGTGTTGATGAAGCATAATCTTTATGAGATAAACATTATGTAGCATCAGCTGTTCGTTGTCCATCGCTTGTCATGGTTCTAAATTTGGAGTTGCTGAGGCTCTTGTTAAATTCTTTTCCCATTGCTGTGGCATAGTACAAGGCACTTTTTAAGGAAATACGTTAATTTGCTTATGTGATTAAGACATGTGCAGATAAGACTTTGGCCTAGATTGGAGCCTTCTACTGGCTTTGAGTGACTCCACTTTATACATATACTATCCCAAGAACTTTTGCCAAACATGTGTAGAAGCTGCCAGTATTAATTAATAATCATTAGAAGACCAGCTTAGCATTTATACATCCGGTGTTTACGGTGTGCCTGGCATGATTCTGTGCTTGTATATACTTTAGTTCATTTCATCCCCACTGTATCTTGGTATCTTGAGTTACGCAATATTATTATTCCTAATTTACAATTGAGAAAACAGACACACAGAGGTTGAGTGACATTTTAACAGTGCTTCCACAGGTTAATAGTTAAGTTGGTTGAAAAGACTAATTTTTTTAATTAAGGGGGAATATTGAAGCACAAGCTAAGAAAAAAATGAAATTAATGACCTGAAGATTAGATGTGTATTATTAATTAAAACACTGGGGAAAGTGATCAGACGTTTCAATCACGTATCTAAAAATCTGTGCTTGGCTTTGCCTCTAAAGGAATAACAAGATAAATTTATCATTGAATAGAAAAAAAAATCACAACCCCATTCTGTTTTCACCCTAAGTGCTTGGAGAGGCAACAGGCAAGAGAAATCACTTTGTAACCAAAAAAAGCTTTACAAAAGTCTTCAGATTCTATATAAAAAAGCAATGAAAATTAACTTCTCAGGAGCTTGGAAATAGAACTCAGCACATCTGTATGAGGAGATCTGAGTGATGAGAGGTTAAGAGCTAAGGCTCAAGTCTGTTCACAAACCAGTTAATCTCTTAGAGTTGTTCAGAAGTAAGTGAAATTAAAGCATCTAAAGAAATGCCTGGTGCATAGAAAAAGCTCAGGGTTTGCTCTTGTAGCTATGAGCTGCTTTGTACAAAGGGCTGGGGAACAGGATTACGTAAATGAGTAAGGGTCTAAGAAACACTGGTGTGTGGTCTTCTGGGTTCTGAGGGCCTGGCGGGTACTTGGCACTTATAGTGAAAAATCTTCTCTAATTGAGTAATTAACTTGTTAAACATCAGTGAACAATAAAATTTTGAGTTGTATGTATGCTTGCATGTTTTGAGTTTCTTGTTCTTTCCTAGGTTCTCATCGAGACTGCTAAGAAGCTGGGACTCCGGTGCCACTCAAAGGGGACAATGGTCACAATTGAAGGACCTCGTTTTAGTTCCCGGGCAGAAAGCTTCATGTTCCGCGCCTGGGGGGCAGATGTCATCAACATGACCACAGTTCCAGAGGTGGTTCTTGCCAAGGAGGCAGGAATCTGCTATGCAAGTATTGCCATTGCAACAGATTATGATTGCTGGAAGGAGCACGAGGAAGAAGTAGGTGGAATTCTCTTCTGAGCATGTATGGCATGGGTTTGTGGGTGCCCTAAGCTAATACGAGAGTGTCTTAACTGTTTGTTTCTATTATGCTAGTTTTAGAAAGTACCTTTCAATAAGATTTTGAAGTTATCATTAGGCATTACCAGATATGTTCTATAATTGCCATTGGAATGTAAGAACAAAGGTCTTCATAGGGAAAGAAAGAGACCCTTTTATCCAGGATCAACAGTGAACAGTACATTGTAGGCATATAGATGTGTCAAAAATCCTATGGAGACATGGGCCTTGTTTTAAGGATAAAGCTGTATTTTGATTGTAATTCCTTCTGCTATGCTGTTGTTTGTTTTCAAGGGGGGAAAAAAAACTATTACACTTTCCTGGTAAGAGGACTCTATGTTCATATCCATCTGTTTAACCTACCATGGCTGGATTCTGTGCTCTGGCATAGAAAAGTGACAGCAAACAGACAAGCCCTTTAAGAGCCAACATTCTGTTTGGGAAGATAGAGGTTAAGCAAACCAAGTAGGAAAGCTAACGGTTATAAAGAAATAGTGTGGTGAGGTACAGGAGCATCTATCCAGTTGACTGAGCCAAATATTTGAAGTCTGAGAGTACTTCCTACGGCAGGATTGAATAGAGGGGAGAGGAGGTGGCGGAGGGTGGAGGGGGGTGATGCAGTGTGGCAGGGCCACATATACCCCATGATGGGGTTTCAGACAGGAGGTCAGGGAGGAGTTTTAGGAAGGGAAGACAGCAAGGTCCAGCTGGAATTTGAGGGCACTGAAACAATGAAGTCACCCTTCCAAAACAAATATTTTCTTTGTGGAAAACCAAACATCTGCAAAACAGAGAGTATAGTATAACGAATCCAGGTACCCATCTCCCAGCTTCCACAATTACCACCCATGGACAGTCTTGCGTCATATATGTTCCCCTGCCCACTTCTCTCTCCCCTTCCCTCATTTTGAAGTTAATATTTTTCTAAGAGGCCTCTTTTTTAAAATTAAAAAAAAAAAACCCAACAGCATCATCGTACAAAAAACACCGATATTAATTTCTTAATATAATCAAATATCTAGACTGTTCACATTTTCCCTCTTATCTCATAATTTTTAACAATTTGGTCAAGTCAGGATCCCTTGCGATTCACACGTTGTATTTTAATGGTAAGCCTCTTAAGTCTCTTTTAATCTAGTAGTCCCCTCCCTCTCTCTCCAGTCCTCGTGTTTTACTTGAATAAACTAGGTCATTTGTTCTGTCATTCATTCTCATTTTAAAATAGAGAAAAGGACAAAACTATAGTGAAAGAATTTTGAAGGCGGAAATATAGGGGTGACTGTTCTGAGCACATCTCCAAAGAGGCCCTTAACGCTGTCTCAGAGAGTTGCTTGTTTCACCATCCAATTTCACATAAGACAGGGTTAGACATTCTTGCCCCTGTTGTCCATCCACGTATATGATACTTGGCCATAGATGAATCCAGGTTCTTTGTTTTTCATGAATGCCTTTTTCTGACTCCTCAGCGTAATAAACTTGCTAAGAAACAGGGTGCGTTTTATGTGAGAGATTTTGTAAATTCTGACTGTAAATCACACCATAATATCTGGTTTGGCAGCTTTGGCAATCTAAGGGACAGCTCAACCTCATGATGTCAGGAAGCTGCTTCTAATTAATTGGAAACTCCAGCCCCTGCCACTCCCTGAAAGCAGATTGTTTCTTCCTCCTTATGGCTTTCATCTCACTCTAACATGTGTCTCCTTTACAAAAGAACCAGTGGTGATTTCCTTCAGTAAGCCAAATGAGGTTCAGAAAGCAGTCAGACCTATTTTATTTAAAAACAGAGACACTAAGCTCTGTATAAGTGGTACGGCTTGAAGACGATAATGTTAAACGCCACAAGGAAGGCACAGATAAAGATAGCATCATCTCAACCAACCGTGTGCGTCACTGTACTTTAAACGAGATGTGCAGCCTGGCATGGCAAGAAGGGTTTGGAATTGCCTAAAGCCACCTTCACATTCTAGTTGCTCCATTTACTCGTGGCACTAGGCAAGTTATTGAACCTTTTTACTCTTCTATAGAATGAAGCCAGGGATTAGAGGTTGTGTAGTTGTTATTCTGACTTTGTAGTATTACTGGGAGAATTAAACCAGATTGTATATGTATAGTGGAACAGCTAGTATAGCGCTGGCTCATTGGAGGGTGGTGGCCATGAGATGATAGCTATGATGGGGGCGTGAGGGTTAGGCAGTAGCAGGGAAAGGCAGCGAAGATGGTAACTTGAGATTTGAGCTGGACCTTAAACAGAGGGTTCATTGTGAGAAGGTCAGTAGGAGGGGTGGAGCCCAACAGAAACAAAGAAGAGGGAGGTCAGAGTCTATACAGATGTATCAGTCACAGGAAAAGTGAAGGAAATGAGTAAATGTAAGGTAAATCTCTTGGATGCTTCATGTCTTTGCATTCAGAGACTCAGCTTAAAACCTGTCTTTTACATGTACCTGGCAGATACCCAACTGGTCACTGCTATGTGTCCCCATAGTCGTGGAAACTCCCCCCTGCTACAGTGCTCATAACTTTTTCCTAAACACATCTTGGTGTTTATGGAAGGGATCTGGAAGGAAATAGAAAAGTGTAATCTTTGTGTCCCTGAATGTTGGATTTCTTCTGAGCGTAGTAAAGCACAAGTACTATGTCTCTGGTCAGTTTGTATTCACATATTTTTTTCAACTTTTCCTGGTGAAAGAATTTCAGTCATATACAAAAGTAGACAATAGTATGATTTTCCATGAATCCAATATCCAGCTTCAACCATTATCATGTAAACTATGGCCAGTCATAGTTCATCTATACTGCCATCTGTAATTTTATCCATAAACATTTCAGGAGGTACCTAACATAACCACATTATCATGATCATATTCCAACAATAATTCTTTAATATACTGAGCCAAAGTTCAAATATCTAATTAAATGTCATAAATGATTTTTTTTCTTGCCAAGTTTTCTTTAAAGGAACCAGGTCATTTGTCCTGTTAAATTTCCCGCAGTCTGAATTGCTGAAATCATCTCCTTAGTGTAGTTTAACAGGTTTCTCTATCCTGTGTATTTTCTGTAAATTGGTAGCTCGATTTAGAGATTTGATCAGATTCAGGTGTCTATAGTACTGTTTTGTTTTTCTATCAAAAAGCACATACAAGCTGGGCACAGTGGCTCACACCTGAAATCCTAGCACTCTGGGAGGGCGAAGCAGGAGGATTGCTTGAGGCCAGGAGTTCAAGACCAGCCTGAGCAAGAGTGATATGCCATCTCTACCAAAAAAATAGAAAAATTTAGCCAGGTGTGGTGGTATGTGCCTATAGTCCCAGCTACTGTAGAGGCCGAGGCAGGAGGATCACTTGAGTCTAGGAGTTTGAGGTTGCAGTGGGCTATGACGACGGTCACTGCGCTCTAGCCTGGGTGACAAAACAAGACTCTGTCTCAAAAAAAAAAGCACATATGAGTGAGTTATTGGTTTGGGGTTTTTAAATTTGGTTTGTGATGTTAACAGCCACCATTAATTCATTAGAAGCCATAAAAATGGTGACACTTTGATTCTGTAATTTTTTTTTCTTTATTTAAAAGCTGGAATACTTTTCTAAAAAGAAATGTACGTATCTTCTGTTTGGTTATCCAATGTGGCAACAGTTTTAAGACGAATCCATTCTACTATGGATGTGGGAAGAATCGCCATATCTTTCTAGACCATGATAACCTGTCATGCATCTGAAATATTTTCTCATATACCATATCGAAATCTGACAGTGCTTTTCAGAGATGTCATTGGGTTTCTCCAAGACTATCTTGATAAATGCAGAGCTTGAGCTCAGGGGATTGAATGGAGTAAACAGACTTCACAAGGCAGGTTTCTTAGTCCGTTTGGGCTACTCTAACAAAATACCATAGACTGGGTAGCTTCTAAACAACAGAAGTTTATTTCTCACTGTTCTGGAAGTCCAAGATCAAGGCACTGGCAGATTCAGTGTCCGGTGAGGGCCCACTTCCTCCTAGAAGCCATCTTCTCACTGGAACCTCACACAGTGGAAGGGGCGAGGAATCTCTCTGGGGCTTCTTTTATAAGGGCTGTAATGCCATTCATGAGGATTCTGCTTTTATGACCTAATCACCCCCCAAATACCCTACATTGAGGAGCAGGTTTCAGCAGATAAATTTGAAGAAGACACAAACATTTAGACCGTAGCAAGGTTGGAATGCAAGAAATGTTTTGTGAAGAACAGTGGAATTTTAAATTCTAGTAACATTCTGTGCTATTGCTTCTCTAGGTTTCAGTGGACCGGGTCTTAAAGACCCTGAAAGAAAATGCCAATAAAGCCAAAAGTTTACTTCTGACTACCATACCTCAGATAGGGTCCATGGAATGGTCAGAAACCCTCCATAACCTGAAGGTAAGTGTCCTCAGGCATCTACAAGAAGATACTTCCATAGATCCTCAGCTGCTGCCTTCTCTTATTTGCATTTTACCCTTGGTCTATCTCCTTGTGCATTTTATGGTAGCCTGTATGTTTTCATGCCATCTACTACCATACCAACCACTTGTGAAATTGACTAGTCATATTTTCTGGCTGGTAATGCAAGACCATTGGAAGTTGAGGTAGAGAGAGTTTTATTATCTGGTGTACCAGGTTCTTCACATTGTCCTGCTCTGTAGTGTATCCCTAAGTCTTACATCAGAAGATTGATAATGCTTTCTCTGTGTGTGGCTTACATTGTTGACAAAGCTATTTTTTTCTCTGACAAATCCATGCAAAGTGGTAGCAGGCCTTTAAAGCCAAAACTCTGCCATAGCAATACCAAAATGGTGCCAGGGATTATCTGCTTAAGGTTAATGTTGCATCAAACTAAGACAGTAATTAATAATACATATGGGATCAGATGTATTGCAGATTAGTAGTTTTCCAACTCTAGTATTAATTCCCAGGATGTAATTTAAACTAACTGCTAAGCTCAGAGGTTTATGATTTTTATTTAGACATTTTGTGACTCTTTTAATTAACCACATGGATAAGGAGTTGCCTTAAATTGATCAGATTGCATTCCCCTAGTATCCAAAGAGAAGCATAACTTGAGGTCTCCTAGAACACACCTATACTCTTGGGTCTTAGGGTAGTAGTTGAGAGAGGATTTGAAAGGTTGATAGAAGCCCTCCCTACCTGAATTACCACCAAGGAGATACGAAATGAGACAACCACAATTTTAACGTGATGAGAATAACCGCTGGCCATGGTGGAGCCATGACTCGCAATGCTTGATTTATGTGGTATAAATGCTATGGCCAGTTTCAAGCTACCAACAACATGAAGCACTGATAAGATGGGAAGTGATAAACACACACAAGCAGGCTACATACACAGCACACCATTGTCACTAAATTGTCTCTCAGCCTTTAGGACTGGCAAAGTCAGGAATGTTGGGATTTGTAGTCTGTCTTCCCTGCTGGGAAACATACCTGTTTGTTTCAAAACTGTATACTTGGGAGATAAGTGACAGCCCCTTTCCCCCATGAAGTATTTTATCATAATTAAAGTACAGGAAGCCCTTGTAATTATGCAGAAAAGGGAAACCAAAAATTCTGAGAATTGGGGAATGTCAGTTTAAACTAGAAACAGGTGGCTTTTTGGGTTTTATCATAAAAGCAGTTACACTCAGCTGCATATAATGGATATAATACAGTGGGGCAGCACAGCTTTAGCTTGTGTAACACGCACATGTGGGTTTGCTGGAAATGTGACTCATACTTCTGGTGTTGCTGAGCTGATGTTAATGCAAGATGTCATAAAGCAGTGGTCCCCAACCTTTATGGCACCTGGGACTGTTTTCATGGAAGACACTTTTTTTCACGGACCGGGGAGGCAGCAGATAGTTTCGGGATGATTCAAGCGCATTACATTTAGTGTACACTTTATCTCTATTATTCTCACATTGTAATATATGATGAAATAATTATACGACTCACCGTAGGTTGGGAACTCCTGTCATAGAGGTTTGTTTATTTATTTGTTTATTTATTTTTTAAAGGACTTCAAGAGGTTTATTTTTTTAGGTCTTCCAACCGACCCCACTTTGAATATTGTCTCTTGAACTTCAAGATAATTTCTCAAGCAATAATGTATTATTTTAGCTTCATTTTTGGTAAAAGTGCTTGGATTGTAGAAATAAGTGTTCTCCTTTCCTTTCCTGAAGCTTCTGAAATTATGGGTAAAAGGGTATGTTTTTGAATACATGCATTTTTATAGAGGCTTAGGATGTGTAGCTCTCATCTGATTTTCAAAGGGAGATATATGACCCAAAGAGAAAAAAATGAAAATTTGCTGCTCTAGACAAAATTAAGAATCGTGGCCTCCGTTCTGTAGCATTCAGGAACACCATACCAATAATCCCTTATTCTGGGGTGGTATTTTCAGTCCTCCAAGCATTGAAATGTATATCATTTATTCACTCACTATTTCATTTCAGAAACACTTAGCATGCTTTATATGTTAAGCTCTGGTTTACAAAGTACATAAAAGACTTGAAGATGATGATCCTATTCTGTTTGGAGATAGGAGGCACTTTTTTTTTTTTTTTTTTTTTTTACAGTAAGATAAGGATAAGGGATGGAGGTTGCATAAACAATAATCCTGGGTGGGTGTTGGTATATAAATTACGTCCTAGTGGCTATAAAAGTAGATGTAAATGTGATTATCAGAACAAACCTGAGATCAGCATCTTTAACCTCACTTTACAGGAAAGCTAAATGAGGAACCAAGACTTTAGAATTGTACGTAAAGTCCCACATTTGGTTAGTGGACATGAATATAATCTGGAGAGTTTATTTAAAGTGTTAGTTTAAAGTGAATTCTTACTTTATGCAATCAAAATCTGGTTTTTAACAGATACCGTAGTAACCAGAATACTCACCCACGCGTGCACATCACTGCCTACAGTTCTTTGTCATCCGTGCCTACTTTCTTCCTTTCAGAATGTGGCCCAGTTTTCTGTTTTATTACCAAGACATTAAAATAGCATGGCTGCGCAGAAGAAAAGAAGACTTTCTAACTCCAGTTGCTTTGAGAATTCTTGCTTCACTTGAAAAAAACATGCAGCTGTTATGCCCTTGCCTGCGGAAGAAGAGGTGGCAAGACAAGACATTGTATGGGTGAGACACTTCTAGAAGACTTGAACTGCTTCACAACACAGAAGAAAAGCAAATGACCAGCAAACATGTGGGGGGGAAATTTACATTTTAGAAAAAAAACCAAGAAGATACCACTCTTCTCTCCCTTTATTAAATTTGCAACAATAAAGGGTTATGGGTAATATCCAGTTTCCTGTGTTGTCAAGGAATATGAGGAAGAAATGGGACTTTAGTTGTTTATTGATATGACTGTAAATTGCTACAGTGTTTCTGGAGGGCAGTGTGGTAAAATGCATCGAATAGCTTAAAAATACTTCTGTACTTGTGCTGGGTACTCCTAGGAATTTCTCTTTAAAAAATTATCAGATACAAAGAATTTTGTGTTATAATAGCAAATATTTAAAATAATCTGAATACTCAACAATTGGAGGTGATTTGGGTTATAATTAGATTGTGAATCAGCCAACTGAAAATCCTTTTCACATAATATTTCAGTGTCCTAGAGAAATGGTTGCTCTATAATATGAAATGAAAAACGGGATATGTAAGCATTTTACAGTAATGGTTTTGTTTTAAAATGCTGTGAAAATGTACAAAGAGACTAGAAAGAAATATATATAATCTTGCTGTTGTATTTGGAGGAGGGATACTGGATAATTTTTATTTTCTTTGACTCTTTGTGCATCTTCACATTTTCTACAATGAATATAATCAAATAGTAAAGTTGTTACAAAAACAAAAATATGCTATAAAACTAAAAATGGACTTAGAAAGATCCAGTTCTTGAAAACGCTGTTTCCAGTATTGAAGTGAAATTTAGGGTGGTAATATTAAGGTGTTGAGTGTTGTTTAAGGGTGTTACGTCTTTATTCTGTTAAAAAAAAATTACTGATTTCTATACAGTCAAAACAATACTTGGGTTTTGCAATAGCTTTCCGAGGAAAGTTAGGTGTTTAATACTGAAGTAGTCTAAAAGTTAAACTATTTAAAAGACATTATGATGTAAGATATTTTAAAAATTAATGTTTGACTTCATTTATGCTTTTTATTAAGTTGATGAACTATTTTACATGAGTTGGTGATTTTTCTTTTTTAATAAGAAAATGGAAGGGTGCTTTTTTACACTCTGGTTTTTATTGTTAACTTTATAGGAATGCTTTTTGTTTTCTTAAGTTTTCTATCACAGGGAGATCTTTTTTCCCCTCAATTATTTTCTTCTCACTGTAGTCTATTACAGGATACTTTAAGATCAGTATACAAGATCTTTTGTTTAAAGAATTTGTAAAGTCAATATGTTTGTGTCTATGAGATTGACTTCAAGATATTAAGCTGCTAATTGTAGACAATAAAATAAACCTATTGCCCTCCAGTGTTAATCTTGAGCCATTTGTGTCACCTGTGATATGACTCTTGGAGTCCCTGATGCATTCCCTGATTTCAAGGCTGGTTATCTGTTAGAGGTCCATGGAGAATCTAATGAACTTGAACCCAGGGTTCTCTAACTCTGTAACCTGTGTTTTCACTACAGTATGATATAGACAGTACCTCACTTTCTCTCAGTAGGTGTCTGAGAATATCAAGGCAAAAACGTGGGTTTTTTCCTTGCTGTCTTCAGAAAGTACAGTTCTACTTGCAGAAGGACTTTTCTTGACCCAGCAACCTTTTCTAGCAACCTCATTTTCAGACTTCTCAAATGAATGGAATATACTCCTGTTTTCTTTGTTACTAGTCATTCACTCCTTAGACAAAACCATTACAATTTTCCTTATACTTCATGCTTGAAAATGTTGATCGCTTCCTGAAATGCTTATCATTTCTGTGATACTGCACTATTTTTTTTTTTAGGCTACTAAATTAAGTGAACATCATGGTCAGTTTTGAGCATTTTTAAATTTCCCCCATGGATGGTGGGCATAATGGGAAAGCTCTAGTTTAGTGACTAAGCCCCTTATTAATTAATGAATTGCATCTGCTTAGGAGTCTTTGTTGGCATTATTATCTGCTGTTGTGTTTGACATCGATTTTCATGGGTCTGAGAATGACAGCCTGAATCTTTTATACGCAGAGTGTTAACCACAAAAATTGAAAAAGGCTGAAACAGCAGGGATACATGTGATACCTAAAAATATTTTGCAGATTAAACTAACGTGCATCCTGGAATTGTTTGTAATAAGCAAAAGCTTGGTAATGGCTAAAATTCTCACGGGTATGGGATTGTCTAAATAAACCAAGGTGCATCGATTCAAATAAATAATGTACAATTGTTAAAAAGAACAAAGATATCTTTATGCACCAGTATGGAACAATGTTCGTGATAAAAGTAGAAATGAGAAAAATACATAAAGTAAAATAAGTGTGCAGTTTGTGTCTGTATGGGTAGCATATTTATGTTTTATGTTCATGGAAAGTTTCTGGAAAGAAACTTAGTGATAACTTCTAAGGTGTGAATCAAGAGACTTACTGTCTGTACCTTTCTGTACTTGCCGAGCTTTTTCCTTAGGCATCTATTCCTTTAATTTGTACAATTTAAGGAGTGGAGACTAGAGGATACCTGGCTTCATAGCAGTTCGTGTAACATGAGGTTAAATATCTGAGTGTTGAATTAAATTCTGATAGGTTATGTTTGGGACACTATCCAGTTCTGGGCACAGTGTTTTCAGGGGAACACTGATCATTTAAAAACGCCGATAGAAGGATGAGGGGTCTGGGAAATCCATGCCACATAAGTAATAGTTAAAGGAATTGAGTGTATCTAACCATTTAAAAGAAAACCTTGAGTGAGAACTTCAGATAAAGGTCTCATTCAGTTACACATCTCCCTCACTACTTGGTAAGCCTCCGTAAAAAAGGAACTTTTTTAACTTATCAGTGTAGGATTCTCTGTTCCTTGTACTTAGCAAAAGTTCAACTAATAATTGTGTAAATGAAAATCTGATCATATCTCTTTGCTACTTAAAACCCCTTATCAGCTCTCCCAAACACCTCTCCCATCTTCACTTTCAGCAGGTAAACTTTGTTCTTTCTTCACTGACAAAACAAGCATCAGCAGAGAATTTGCAAGGACCACCCCCCCCCCCGCCCTCCCCCTACACACACACTCTCCCTCCCGCCCAACTCCCCCAAACTGTTTTCCCTCCTGTTACCATCTGTGACAGTGCTTATCAAGCTTGAGCCTGGAGGGCTTGTTGAAACAGGTTACAGGGCCTCACCTGAGTTTCTGACTGGGGGTGGGGGGGGTCTGGGGGAGGGCCTGATAATTAGCATTTCCAACAAGTTCCAGGTGCTGCTGCTGGTTCAGGAGCCACACCTCGGGGAATGCCAGCATAGATGTTTCTCCCCATCATTCTCTTACGCACCAGGCCCCGTACCTCTCACCTAGTCAGTCGAGGACATCACTGTAGCAATTGTCCCTTTCCTGATCCATTTTTCCCCTCGTTATTGTATCATTTCTTTCAGCACACAAATATGCTTTATTTCTCCCATTACAATTCTTGCCCCAAATTCTTTGTGCTGTCTCATTTCTTTGCCTTTCACTGGAATAAAACCCCTTGAAGAGTTAGTTATTCTCACTGCCTCCAGTTCCTCTTCTCCAGTCTTTCTTCAGCCCACTCCTATTCAGATTTTGCCAACAACCCATCTCCCACACCACCAAAATTATTCTCAAAGTCACCTCTTTACTAAATCTAACAGTTTTCAGACTTCACCCTTTTGTATCAACTGTGTTTGATACGCTTTTTTTTTTTTTTTTTTTGAGACAGTCTCATTGTTGCCCGGGCTAGAGGGTCGTGGCATCAGCCTAGCTCACTGCAACCTCAAACTCCTGGGCTCAAGCGATCCTCCTGCCTCAGCCTCCCAAGTAGTTGGGACTACAGGCGCGTGTCACCATGCCTGGCTAATTTTTTTTTCTTTCTATTTTTTTAGTAGACACAAGGTCTCACTCTTGCTCAGGTTGGAGCATTTGATACACTTGACCCCTCCCTCCTCCTTGAGAAGCTTTCTTTACTTAGCTTCCAAGGAGCCTGCGCCCTTGATTTTCCTTTTTTCTCAGTGTTTGCTGCTTCTCATTTCTCCTTTGCTGATTCCTTGTCTTCTCCGTGATCTTGCCCATCCCAGGACTCAGTCCTTGGACTTCTCCATCTTCACTCACTCCTTGGTTATCACTCCTCAACTTCCCGCTAGACCTGCTCTCCCATCTTGGTTGTTGGCAGTTGATCCTTCCGGTTCCTAAGACCAAAAACTTCGAGTCATCCTTGACTCTTCTCTTCAAAACCCATATTCAGAGCTGGGTGCAGTGGCTCATGCCTGTAATCCCAGTTATTCAGGAGGTAGAGGCAGGAGCATTTCTTGAGCCCGGGAGTTTGAGACCAGCTTGGGCAACATAGTGAGACCCCATCTCTTAAAAGATTCAACCCAGAAAATTTTTATTCCCTCTACCATCCAAATATGTTGAGAACTGACTATTCCTCACTGCTGCTGTCTCCACCCTGGTCTGAGCCATGCGTCATCTCACCTGGATACTGTGGTAACCTCCTAACAGGTCTTCCTGCTTCCACTTTTGCTCCCTACAGCAATCAATCCAGGAGCCAGAATGACCTTTTTAAAACATGTCATTCCTCTGCTCAAAATGCTATGTCACTCATATTAAAAGCCCAGATCCTCACAATAGCCTATAAATCCCCATGTGATCTGCACTTGCCCTCTCTCCCTCTGACCTCACTCACCCTGCTGCAGCCTCACAGACCTTGCTTTTCCTGGAATGTGCCAGGCCCTCTCCTGCCCTTAACATTAGCACATTTGGTTTGTGTTCCTTCTCCCTTGAAACCTCTTCCCCCAGATAACCACGTGGCTCACCCGAGCACCTCCTTCGAATCTTTGCTCAAAAATCACCTTAGTGGGTCCCCCCCAACCATCACATTTTAACAGATGGTGATGCCTCTCACTTCACACCTCCTAGTGTTCCTGAGGGCTTCAGAGTCAACTATTTTTCCCATAGCTCTTAAGTTCTCCCAACATAGTTTAGCATTTGTATATATTTGCTTATTGTTTGTTGACCCCACACACAACACACGTACCAAAATGTAAACCGTGAGGACGGGAATCTTGTCATTCACTGTTATCTCAAATGACCAAAATAGTGACTGCCACGTAGTAGGCTTCCAGCCAATACTATTTAGAATGTACAGCTTCCCAACCCTGCCTGTTCTGGCATGTTCTGACTTACTTCCACCTCTTTCTCACCTCCACACTTCATGGCACTCTAGACCAGTGCTGTCTGATAGAAATACAATGTAAGCCAATATGTAATTTTAATTTTCTAGGAGCCACATTTACAAAGTAAAATGAAACAAGTAAAATTAATTGTAATAATATACTTAACCTAATGTATTCAAAATATTATGGAAACGTAATCAATATAAAAAATTATGAATTTTACTTTCCTTTTCAAATACTAAGTATTCGGAATCAGGTGTGTATTTTACACCAACAGTACATCTCAATTCAGATGTTAAATGTTAATGAGAAATATTGTGTCAAAATTCTGTAAAACTTACTTTGAAAGAATAGATTTGCATACCGAAGTTCCAGGTATATTGAAGTGGATATCTATTTTTAAATATAAGTTAATTTAAAAC